ATTTTTTTGTAGTTCTTCATGGTACTACTTTGGGTACTACTAATGAGGATTGCATGAATTCATTCTGACCGGAAATGAGGCATAGGCAGGCTATTAAACCAATCAGGTCGATTTTGAGAAATTTGAATCGCCGAGTCACATAATTATGAATAATGATCAATGAATTATTCCCAAGTGTCTTGTAATAATGATAAGCAATTGTTAAAGAATGACGTGATAGGTACTGGAAATTATTATCTGGGACAAATTACAAAAAAATCTAAAAATATATTAATTGTTTCTGCAAATGTATGTATGTTCGGGTGGAATCTTTGAATTCAATTTTGAAGTAGAAATCTTCAACCGATTGAGCTGAAATTTTGTATACACGTTCAGTTTGAATGACAATGCACGATAAGGTGTGTCAAGGTCTATTAATCTATTATTGAGTTAAATAGCCTTGAAGGTGTGTCACGTCATTCTAAATCCAATATGGCGGAATAGCTATTTTTTATATACTTTTACAATATGGGTATCAAATGAAAAGGCTCGTTGAGAGTAACTCGAGAAAAGATGTGACGTCATTCTAAATCGAATATGGCGCGGACCATCCAAGTTGGCGGAATGGTTATTTTTAATCTACTCTTAAAGTATGGGTGTCAAATGAAAGGGCTCGTTAAGAGTAAATCGAAAAATTCAGCTAGCGATAATAACTAACAATTAAAAAATAAATTAAAAGTGAAAAAAACTTTTTAATAAAAAGCTTTCATTTAAACGCTCTAAAAATGAGAAAATAAAATGTTTCTTGATAATTTTAACTATCAACTTATAACCTCATTATACACGATTTATATTATTATCATAAAAGCTTGTCGCGATGATCAATATTTAATTAAATTGTGATTTTAAAAATTTTATCTCAGCAGATTTTACATAATTAAATAAGTACTAGTTCATTCACACAAGTGAATCGCGCGACAAACTTTTATGATCATATTATATAAATTGTGTATAATGAGGTTATAAGTTGATAGTTAAAATTATTAAGAAAAATTTTATTTTCTTTTTTTTAGAGCGTTAAAATAAAAGCTTTTTACTAAAAAGTTTTTTTTTACTTTTAATTTATTATTTTATTCTTGTTGTTACCATTTTGTAAACAACGGTGTTGCTTATACTGTGAACTGTACCTATGTTATGGCTTTATGTGTACTTTGACGATTCCAATACATGTCATCTGTGTCTAATGAAGAATAAATATTATTATTATTATTATTATTACAAACTTCATCAACATACTTATGACAATATTTTGATGAAGTTTGTTTGAAAAAATGTACAAACGCTTGTCCTGTTTACCAGAGGCATCGATTTTCGTCGACCGACCGTCGTTTTCTTCAGAACTTTTGCCCTAGGATATCCATCAGCAGATAACAAAAGGATATTCTGACTGAATGGATATCCTATGGACGTCCTTCATCCCCAACGGGATATCTTATGAATATCAGGAATCTCCCTCACAGATATCCATCGGATATCCATAGGATGAACCAATGATGGAAGTAAGATATGGTGTAATTACTGATGCGCTTTTGTTTCAGAAATTTTACTCGACCTCTCGAGGACAGTGAGAGCAATGGTTCCGTCGATCTTGTAATAGATGGCGACATTGCACAATTATGATATCTGTCAGTTTTGAAATTGTCGCAGATTTTTCGAATTCACAATTGAATAATCCCACTGGTACAGGGTGATTCACCATAAATGTCCCCCCCTCTAGCTTATAGTTATTTTTGAACCGATTACAGAATTTTAAATATCATCTAACATGATTTTCGATAGGTTTTTTTTCCACTACATCAGAAAATATTCATTATATCGGTCGAAACGGCTTTCATGTCCGTATCTTAACTTTTGATTTACTATCTACGGACATTTGATAATTGGAACAGATACAGAGGGTGATCAGAATTCTGAATCTTGAACCATCCTGTATATGTTCCAATTAAATGTCAGTAGATAGTAAATCAAAAGTTGAGATTGGGACATTAGAGCCGTATTGACCAATAATGAATAGTTTCGACACAAAAAAATCCTAAAGTTGAAAAATCTCGATTTTGAACACCCTATATCTCTGTAATCATTCCCGCTAGACCCCAAGTGTGATACATCGATGAAATCAGCTCTTCAGGGAGAATCTAAAAATACAATGAAATACAGGGTGTTCCATTCGAAAAAATCAAGTAGTACTCTGTAGATCGTTTATTCCGAGCACCCTGTATTTTCTGATGCAACGGAAAAAAAATGTCTGAAAAATCATTCCAGTTAATTTTTCAAATCTTTAAATCGGTTCAAAAATAAGTGAGCTAGAGGGGGGGACATTTATAGTGAATCACCCTGTACATATGTTCCGCGTACCTAAAATGCCATTTGCCATTTTATTTTCACTCGTCACAGCAGCAATAGCAGCATCACCATCTAGCGGGTAAATGTAGAAACGTCTCGCTCGATGTGGACGTAGAGAAATCATAGTAGGCGGTTTAGTGATTTTTCTGAAATTTTCAATACGTAATAATGGCCGAATGCGCGCACCTTATCTTACTTCCATCATTGATGAACCTATGCTATTTGGGATTATACCAGCCCATAATAACTGTGCCATAATGTTTTTGTATTTGTTCTACGTAGTTTGAGTATTCCTGATTGAACAGCTTTCTATTTATATGGCTCATCAGAGTCCAGCATTGCTCAAGAGACCATGAAAAATGAAAGTTCATATTTTGTCTTTTGAAAAGATATTTTACAAGAATTAATATGCATATTTGACAATAAATTATATAGGGAAATGATCATGGGAGAAAATATTACAGCGAACTTCCATTTGGAATAGAATTCTTCAATGTGTATCGAATCATCTGTATTATGATAATTGTGGATTACCACCATCCACCTCCGCCTCCGCCTCCACCTAAAAAAAACAATGTTTCAATCTATTATGTCAAAATTTCATTGATTTATCGAAAATAGTAAATAAAACAAGGGCATTTTTTGTTATAGCCGTAGAAAAACAAAGTAGTCATTTGATTTCTTATCGCTTGTGTTTATATTTTTGATGAGTGGTTGAAAACTTTCGAAATGATCGTTTTCGAATGGCCATTTTTTTAATGGGATTATATTGGTAACTTATTGAGGGTGGTCTGGAGAATATGAAACGTTGGATGAAAAGCAAAGAGAATTTACTTTCAAATGGAAGACCCCAAAACATCATTTGGTATTTCTGAAAATGAAATGAGAATATATAACCAATGAAAAACCGGATTGATCGAATTTTGGATTTTCGTCATATCTCATGCAAGACCCGGCCCTGATATTTGCGATTATAGATTTCACAGCTAGATAATGCTTTCTGATATGCAACTCTTTCTCCATTCAACTAACCTTCTAACTATTTAGTATATAAGTATATAGTTTGGAAGGTGCCACTACAATCCCATCAAAAGTGGCAACCCCGTATAAAATATTGGGTGTTTCCATTTCTTGGCAAATGGCACATTAAATAATATGCCGACCTAACGAAAAACCAGTCTTTCAATAAGGCCATTCGATATTGAACTGAAAAAATGATATTCTGCATGGTATTCTATTTATTCATCTAATCATTCAGTCGAGTAAACTATTACCAAAAAATACGTTCTCAAAAAATCGGTGTGACCACCAAAGAAATAGAATATATTATTATGTGTTTATTAGTGTTGAAAAGCACTTCTCAGATAAATTATATGAACCTAAAAAAAATGGATATATACATAATATGTAAAGAAATACATATTTGAGAATTTGCATTCTCTATGTGATGAAAATATCATTTATTCTTTCTCGGTTTATTCAACAGAAAACAACTACTTTCCTGGCTATATGCCACGAAGAAAATTGACACGAACACAGACGATAAGAATTTGAAAACAAAATCTTCTGAAGTTGAGAATTTGCATTCTCCTTCAGATAAAAATATGTATATGCACATAATACGATTATGAATATTCAACAGAAAACAACTATACTTTCCTGATTATTTGCCACGTCGAACATTGAATTATATCTGTTGAACATACAAAAGGATCGAGAGCTTGAAAAATAAAAATCCTCTGAAATTGAGAATTGATCTACATTCCCTATAAAATCGGGTAAATAATATGATGTTTTATGATATGAAAATATAACTTACCTATATATGTTCAGTATAGAAATGAATGTTGAAATGTATAGTAGAAGTATACTTGCATAAACTCTGATCTTGATTTGATTATTCTCTCACAAACAGGTTATATGACTTTATTAGAATGAACTCATTTCGGATAGGTATCAAATCCTCCTCAATAACCTGAAGTCCAGTTATTCTATCAGACATTCTTCATGATATTATATTAAAAGGTGTTTTTGAAAAAATTGTACATGCATATTCAGCACATTTAATATGATACAGTCTAAGGAATATTCCCATGATATAAGATTTTTTCTAATTCTTTGAATTAACGAGAAATTTCATCCCAAAAATTGAACAAAATACGAGAAAAAAAACAAGAACTCCGCGTGATTGTGCCTACCGCATGGAAATTTGAACAGAGGTGACGTCAGATTTGCTACAGTGTAGAACTTTAGGTGGAAAAAGGGGTCTAACCTTAAATTTTATTTTGATCCCTAAATTTTTTTCTAGTGCCATTCGATAGTACACGTCGAGCTTTCTCAGTGTTTGAAATATTCGCACTTATTTCAACCCTGTATATATATATATATATATACACAATCTACATCTCTCTATAATATAACTAAAACTATTTGTTGACATTCGATCCGTCATGTGGTTGTTTTTGGTTTTTGGATGTATGACAAATAAATATTCATCATACACAGGACGTGGAAAGAAGTTCTGAATAAAGAAAACTTCGCGAGTCTGCGATTAATAAAGGTCTATAAAAATACCAAGTTTCCATCGTTCAAGATCTATGGTTTGAACCAATTGGTTATTAGTGTTGCTCGGTATATCTGTGAATCTGTGTTGTAACTCCCCAGCCCCATTCAGAAATATAATATGTAAACAATAAAACATGACATAGGTACCTACCTGATTTCCAACCTCCACCGCCACCGCCAGATTTCCAAATTCCGTTGCTGCCCCCACCGCCATATCCGCCGCTGCTAGGTACAATTATCTTGATTATTTTGACAGTGCTACCGCCTCCCCCATATCCGCCACCACCTCCTCCCCCCGATTTCCAGCCTCCTCCTCCCGATTGCCAACCCCCTCCTCCACCTCCTGATTGCCACCCGCTGCCACCTCCTCCCGATTGCCACCCGCTGCTACCTCCTCCTGATTTCCAGCCTCCTCCTCCCGATTGCCAACCCCCTCCTCCACCTCCTGATTGCCACCCGCTGCTACCTCCTCCTGATTTCCAGCCGCCTCCTCCTCCCGATTGCCAACCGCCGCCTCCGCCTGATTGCCAGCCACCGCCTCCGCCACCTCCTCCACTTAGAAAACCGGCTACAAAAATGAAAGGTGTTAACATTTCAACGTTCAATAAAGAACCTTCTATTCGTCCAGTCATCAGCGGGAATTTTCACGCTTTCGAGTTACGAATAATCAGGAAACCTTACAAAATATTCCTCAATTTTGAAAGTGAGCAAAGACAAAAAAATTTTCAAATTTCATACAATGTCATAAAAGGCTATTTAATTATGTACAAAAAAGATTATCTTTTTGAAACTCGATAGAACGCTTCGTTTTCGAGAAAAAACGGAAAATAACGAGACCATGCAGACTTCAAATTTTGATGTCTGAGTACTCCATTCAGGACATCCATTACTGAATAACCACATTATGTAACATTTTGAAATTTGTATCCTGATTCAGTCACATAGCAGACTGAATTTTGTCATCACGAAAAGCTATACAGGGTGGATAAAAAAATAATCTATGCATATTTTCAACATTGACATCCTGTATCTCAAAAGTTAGGAGGTTTATGACATACGTTCATATGAAGTTTTATTCTTGAAATGAGTCGAATAATTGGCCCCTTGAATATTAGCATATCATTAAGGAATACCCTGTATATGTATGTTGTCTTCAAATACCTTTAGTAAGCATGAAAACATCAACTTCTTTTTAACTAAACCAAATCTGTATTTCGACTATCGTACGAGATCTCAATGGTGAGATGAATTTAAAATTAATTTTCATTTTGTGCAGGATTAATTGACCAATTATTTTACACGTACTGATAAATTATACATATGTATATGAAAACAACAAATATGTAACATAGTAAAATTTAAATGAGCAAGATCTCATCAAGTCAAGAATATTCCGAAAATTTTCACACTGAAACTGCGAGTGACTGTCCCGGAAAATGAAATCACTTACTAACCTTGTGTAAAACTCGCCGTTGCAAATACGAATAACAAACAGACAAACACCTGAAATAAACGAAATAAAATTAAAACTATTCATGGAAAAATGAATTCTCTTAGTTTAATATACCTTCATTGTGATCTAATAATTAGGACACTGATGGTGCTCAAGTCAATCTTTCCTTTGGTATATATAGTAGAAGAGGGGCCTTGAGCCCCCCGAATCAATTCCCTAATAGCTTTTACATCTTGGTACCGAACATCCCCCCATCTTCTATCAACATTTCTTACAACAATAATTTACTTAATTATTATTGCGCTACCGCCGGTCGCTTCCATCGTCTGTTTGGTTTACACGATCATTTCAATGAAGTTCACTTGACACGACTACTCAGTATAGCCGATTATTTTTCTCTCATTGTTTCTATAAAATAAAAATATGAGTATTATTTCAATATATGTGTGGTAGGGCAAATCAGATTTTTTCAACAATCAAACAATCATCCTGAATTTCATATTCCAATAGCACATACTTGATAGATGAAAGAACAATAACAAATATATCGTTGATTGTTCGACTGTCAATTTATTTCATCAAAATTAAATTATTCCTATTGAAGTATAAACATTATTCATTATCCCAGATTTTCTAGGAATTTCTCTCCTTGTTTCTATAAAATATAAAAAATATGATCGAATGTCACTACGTTCAAAAATTTCCCCAATATAGGTACAGGGTGTTCCTTAATGATATGCTAATATTCAAGGGGCCGATTCTTCGCCCCATTTTTGAGATACAGGGTGTCAATGTTGAAAATATGCAGACATAATTTTTTTCTCCACCCTGTATAGCTTTTCTTGATGGCAAAATTCAGTCAGCTATGTGACTGAATCGGTATACAAATTTCAAAATGTTACATACTGTGGTTATCGAGTAATGGATGTCCTGAATGGAGTACTCGATCAGACATCAAAATTTAAAATCTGGTCTCGTTTTTCCTTTTTTTATCGAAAACGAAGCGTTCTATAGAGTATCAACAGGAGGATCTTTTATCTACATAATTAAATAGCTTTTTATAGCATTTTATGAAATTTGAAATTGTTTTGTCATTGCTGACTTTCAAGATAAAAATAAACAATAATATTCCCGTAACGGTGCCACTGGTAGAAAAAATGAAAATTTTTGTACATCAATAAATGCACCCAGAGATTATACACTCGTATAATCTCTGATGCACCTTATTGATGCATAAAAAACGGGTACCGAATTTCATCAAGATGTATACAATATTATCTCAGTTATTATCAAAAGACTGGATATTTTTCAAAACTTCATCACCCTGTATCTAAAAAGTTAAGACTTTCAGGACATACGTTCATATAAAGTTTTTTTCTTGAAATGAGTCAAAGAATCACCCCCTCAAAATTAGCATGTCTTCAAGGAACACCCTGTATATCCCTGTTTATTATCGTGTAAACTGCTACCAACATCAAATCAGTTCTACAAGAGAGCGCAATCAGTAAATTGCAGATTCAAAAGAGTATATTGTTGCTCAATGTTTCGAAATTTTTATATTACCACCATACGTACTATGTATACCATACGGTTGTGGCACAGATCATGTCGTCGATTAAATATGTTAGGAAATTATCAATTAAAGTATAATTATCAATAAATCAATGTATGTTGTACATCATTCTGAGGATGTTCTATATATTCAAAGAATGTTCAGAGTTCAGAGAATCCCGCAGCGAGCACAAACATCCCTGGGATGTTTTGAAAATGTTGGCATGAATATGTTTTTTTGAGACGTAATATGCACTTCCCAAAGAGGTCTTCGAAGGATATTGACGTATTGGTTTTGTTCTTCTGTGGAATTTTTTTGTTTGCGTACCTACTGAGAGGTATCGCTGGCATATTCTGGGATGTTTCAAGAATTTAGGCATCAGGATGTTTTCTCGAGACGTAATATGCACTTCTCAAAGAAGTCTTCATAGGATATTGAAAGTATTGTTCTTGTTCGTCTGTGGCCAATTATTATAATATGCCACAGAAATTCGTCAATATTTCTGCGGATAGTGCAAGCATGTTTTTTCAGTGTATAGGTCGAATGTTCTTTCGCTGGGATTTTCGGTCTTGGGCTGTGATTTCCCGATATTATTCAGTCAGTTCGTTCATTCTAGGTAATGAGTTGTACGTTGTACGTCCGATAACAAGTAAGAGATTTAATTTTGTAATGTTCAAAATTATTGTAGTCACCAATAATCTTAAATAAAAATATGTTTTGAAAAAAAAATTATATCCCCCCCCCACGGTACACTTCTGGGAACGCCACTGATTCCACGGAACTATTCTAAGAACATCTGAACCTCTTTGGGAATGCATATCACTTATTCTCAAAAAAACCTGATGCCTAAATTTTTTAAACATCACAAAACATCCCATCCAGGGATACCTCTCATCAGTAGGCACACAAAGAAATGCTACGGAAGAACAAAAAGAATTCTTAAATATTGTCGAAGACATCTTTGGAAGTGCATATATTACGTTAGAAAAAAACATCTTCATGCCAACATTTTCAAAACATCCCGGGGATGTTTGTGTTCGCTGGGTATTATACCTATATTTTATATTTTCATTATGTAGGTAATAATCTGATAGAGTGCGAATGATGTATTAGTTATTATTGTATATTTTTAACGAAAGGCCATCCAGGATATAATCTAATCTAGATTGTAACTATAGAAAGTTACTGGAGAGAGAGAATGCAGTATTTCATTTTATACCGCTCGCCTCTTACTTATGCAACCGCGATCTGGTAGACCATAAACAGTAGGTACATCCACTTGAATAACATAAGAGCCACACATCACTTTAGATAATAGATACTTTAAAAATTATAATAATCCACTGTGTAGGTAGTGTGTAGGTATACCTGATGAGCTTTCAGACCGAGTTTCAGACCAATAAATATGGATATGGTTCAGTCATTGTTTCACTCCGTGTACGCCTTCAGAGATCTTGATAATACATAAAATCTTATCATGAAAAATTGGTACATTGATTCATGTGGAGTTAGAGAGCGGATCATAAAATATTCTAAATTTTTTCGATGAGTTCATTTAGCATTACTCCTCTGAAATGATGGCCTGACCAATGTTCATATTTGGCAGGTCTTTTACCTCGAATTCTATCAATACCTACCAGATTAATCACTTCTAGGTATTTAAGAGGTACAGGATAGATAACTAACTATTTTTCTTGTTGTTTTCACAGAGGTTAGGAAAATCTCAAGACGTTTTATTCTCACTAACCTTCACTTATTCCTATTAACACTTTTAGTTTAGTTTAGTTCATCAAACATAGCAGGTGGAAACAAGAAAAACACTCGAAATAGTTATAAAATACCGAAAATATTCAGCTCATTGGGTCTCCCAGTCTTCATAACCTCAAAGTAGTCAGAGGACTTGAAGTTATTCTCAAGATCAAATCATTGCAACCAACATTTATACAATTATTGTGCTTCAGAAAATGTATATTATATAAGGTAGGTACTAGTTTCTTCATTGTAAACAATAAAAGTTTAAGTTTATGCAATATTTCGAGTTTTTTCACCAGGAAAAAAAATTAGGTTTTGGAATATGCACTTCAACAAATAAATTATTTTCAAATAAAACACAAAACACATAATTCGAACTGAGATTATGAAACTTTGTTGTCATTGTTGTTCATTCTCGCAAGAATTACAAAGTTAGCCACCAGAGGCCGCACACTTCGTGATTTTCGTAAGAAAATAATCATCCGAAGATCAGTTACCCATATGCGTTATGTGGGTTGTCCACACTTAATGCACGTCAGAGTATAGTTGGTTGCATATGAGGTTACTGTTGACGGCTTGTTTATGTTGTTTATACGTCCATGGCGCGAGAGGGCATGAAAACAGGATAAACTACACATTTTTTGTAACTTGTTTCATTCACAATAATTGTACCTTGTGGCTGAGCCTCCTTTTCCAATTCAACCTTGATAGAAAATGGTTGATTTCTCATAGAGTCCAAGTAGAAATTATTATCACTCAACTAAAATAATTTATTTTGGACCTTGCTAGTTTTCAACAAATGGTAGGACATCACGACGTTCACACTTGAGGTCTGGTCAATGGTTTAATTATATGATTGTTATCTGCACGTGGCTGCAAGATATTCTTGGAAACACCCTCTTTAATATGAATAAGTAGCGGCCATACACCACCAGCATTATACACCGTGCCCAGCTAAAATGTTCCCCCCCTGTAAAAAATCAACCGCGCGATCGAATGACTCGAAATTTGGTCACCCAGTATATTCGATGATGCTCACTCGAAATATGTTATTGAATAAATCGTAGGTATACAGGATCACACCGAATTGCACCTCAACTTTCTTATTTGAATAGGGACACCCAGTATATTATTCCATATTCAAGTAGAGTACATATCTCAGAGTACATTATTACAAAATCAACAATGCCGGGTTTGATGGGATTGTTTCAAACGACTACGAAGACATGGCAAAAAATAAAACGATTCAATAAGAAATTTATTCGACTAGCGACTAGATATTATCAGAGATTATACTAACACGATTGAAATCGAATGAATATGGAAGAAATGAAAGAGGAAATCACAAAATTTATACGCACAAATTGATCGCAAAGTGATATATAGGGTCACAATGATGAACGGGTGCGTTTTTCATTCCAACATTTTATCATGCGCATGAATCGAAGAAACCATCAAACTGTTGCAAAATTCCGCTGGAATGTTGATGGACATCCATCAAACTGTTGTAATAAAATGCGCACTTTTAAATCGCATTTCGAGAATCCAGCAGTTTGGAGGAGATTGACATGACAGTTGACACATTTTAGTGTTGTTTTTTGTTTTGATTTGATAGAAAACAATTAATATTGAGGATTTTTGAGATTCTTGAGAGATTTTAGAAGAAAGAGTCAGTGTTAATCAATTAAGTCGAATTAGCCTTTTCTGATTCTCAAGATACATGATGACTGACACACAACAAAATCCGTGTTTCCATCAATGTGTTGTATAAACCATTGTTCAATCCTTCCAGCATAAATTCCAACAGAACAATTGGTGACGTCACGACAAAAAACCGCATCTATGAGTGCGCACTTTCTTCGATGGAATGAAAAACACGCCCGTTGTTATCAAAAGAGCTAGGAAATGTTTGCAGCAGAATGGACGACATATATCTTTTCATTCGATTTCAATCGTGTTATATTAATAAAATCTAATCATATAATTTTTTTATTGAATCGTTTTATTTTTTGTCATATCTTCGTTGTCGTTTGAAAAAATCCCATCAAACCCGGCATTGTTGAATTTGTAATAATGAACTCTACTTGAATATGGAATAATATACTGGGTGTCCCTATCC